AACTTGGAATGAAAGGGAGAGAGAACAGGGGGAGGGAAAGCTTGAATACAGAAAAAACAGTGATGTTTAAAGTATAGGTCGAGGTAAATTGAATTTTAAAATATAAGAATGCTTCTAAATGATTTTCATCTTAACCTGATTCAAAGTCAAAAGCAGATATGAACTCAAAATTGACTGAGTTACATTCCATAAAAAACAAATGCTATAAAAATAAGAATTTGCTGAATCATAGAGCATAGTAAGTAACATGTAAGAGCTCAGGACAGATATTACTGTCTGGTGGCCAATTGTAATTCATATAAAAGATGAAAATAAAAGTCTTATCAGGCATTCCTGTGAGTTAGCTGCTATTCAATTTATCTTTGTTCACAAGGTAGTTATGTGTATACCTTTCACATATCTGAAAATTTATTTCCTGCAATATCAGCATAATTGTATTACTTGTATCACTCATGAATCTTTTCCAAATTCATTATAATGTTTAGATAGCATATATATTTCAAACACAGAATGCTGACAATATAGGTGTAATAAATTAAATTGACTGAAATATAAATGTTTGTACAAATAAATGGGAAAATACTGAAATTTACTTTTGAATGTTCAGAGCTCTAGTTTTAACACTTATAAACTTCCTGTTTCAATAATTTATATGTCAAATTGATCAGTAATAAAATCAATTTTGAAAATTCCAAAACTATCAGATGCACAATCGAATAGAATGGTGTCTTACAAGAAACAGAGTTTGCTATTTTCTGCCCTCTGCTGTTCAATTTTGGCAATTATCTAAAACTTAAGTATTGTTTCTATTGCAAGAATAGTAAGTTAGAACAAAAAAACAAACAAAAAAATTATCTACTTTATCATTTACTGGTCTGGCAAGTTGGTTGGTTGGTTAACAGTTTGGGAAATTTTGAAATTACTTTTAGCTGACTTCATTGTAACGATTAAGTTATAAAAGTCATTGCCATAGTTCCTACTCAAGGAGTTTGACCAAAGTGAAGATCACCACCTCCCTGCCTATTTATCCTCCAGAACTGTGAAAATGTAGGACATCTGAAAAATTTGGATGCAACTCAGCATTAGAGAGAAATGAGAGCCCATGCTATTTGGAGCATAAGATGGCAAAGATAGCAGTTCTTGCAGAAGAAACCCATGTTTCAAATATGAGCTCCTATTGGCTGAGACAGAGCAGGAAAAAGAAATGGAAGGGGAAACATGAGGATTTTAACTACCCAGGGTTATAAATAAAAAGGGATATTCATTTGGTGGGGGGAGGGGGGTTAGTTCCTTACTTAAGATAAAGTGTAATATTAGTATAAATAGTTATTCAGATTGAGACAATATTGATTATATATTTTGTATAGTGAAATTTTAAATCATTGATTCAATAAGATCAATTTCATGACCCTAAAACAAATATAAAAGCTAAGCTTTCATAATTTTTTTACAAATTTAAAATAAAGTCCAAAAATGGAAAAAATAATTGAGTTTTCATTTTGGGTTGTTTAGAAGCTTTGCTTATATGAATTTTAATTACTTCTATCTCTGTAAATAGCAATTACATACAATAAATATTTATTGGAACAGATA